CAGCAAATTCAGCAAAGAGCTGCCTGGCTCTGCAACACTTACTACTAAGAGACAGCACATGGCGAAAGCTTTGCAATTCTTCTCAAGCTGCTCTAGTCATCACTCTGTGAGCAATATATATAATGTCTTTCCATTATGATACAAAAAAATCCTCACTGGAGTGGGTTCACTTTATGAAAAGGCAAGTGTACATATCCTTCAGCTAGGGATAGGTGGAAGACCCCAAAAGATGCATCCTCTATATGTTCTTCTTTCAATTATCTGGGACAGAAGCAGCTCAGAGTGGCAAATACCTAGCTTTTGCAGAGCCACCGCTCCCAGTGTACAAGCAGCAGCCACAAGGAATGAGGGTGTTCCCCAAGTGCTGTAAACACGAACAGAGGTGGGAAAGGAAAAAAGTGCAGAAGCATGACTGACATCTGTATGGTGGAGAGGGGAAGAGATGCTTTGTCTCAATTAGTTTACATCTCTATCATCATACAAATACTAAACCAAAACAGAATAATGCTGTATATTTGGGTTTCCACAAACTAAGGTCTGGGACAAGCTGGGCAACTGCAACATCATTTTGTCACTCCTCCAATTATCATAAACAAAAGAGAATTGAGTGTTTTCTTTGCTGTGTTCTCTCTGCTGTAGCTCTTAAAAAGCAAGCCAAGAAATGTTATTTCAAAGCAATCAGAAACAAGACAGAGCAGGGAACCAAACAAAAAAACCCACTCAAAACCAAAATACCCCACAAACCCGAAGGAAAAACCCAACACATTCCATGTTTTGAAGCACATCAGAGGTCTGAACTTTGCCTGGACCCAAGTTTCCTCCCTCCCCACCCATACCCTTGTTTCCTTAAAAGCCCCAGTAAGGTTACAGCTCAGTTGTGTTACAGCACTAGAAGCCTCCCATATTAACAGAAGGTGAATTAATGCTGTGTAACAATCCATTCTATAGCATAAAACCATAAAAATATGTATCTCACTCTTACTACAGCTTCCAAACAGTCAGTAATTGGGCTCATAAACCAGTACAGGGAAAGTTTCAAACATTTTTAAAAGGCAGTTGACCTTGATTTTTTTAGGGATTTCTTTTTACAAAAATAAAGAGGATCAGTTAAAATGCTCTACAGCAGCCCAAATAGGTCAACCAGACCTTGCTGCTGAAATAGTAGTCAATATGTTCAAAGTTTGCGTGCCTTGTTATTTTACCCTCATAACCCAAACACCACTACTTTAAGTGTGCACTCCCCTCTTTTCTGCAGTCTTCCTGATTAAAGGTAATTAGCCTCCAAAACAGTAATGTAAACTTCTAGGAACCCCGGCACATAAGCTGGGAGCAAAACAAGCCCAGATTACATTTCTTTCAAGACTCAGGCACACACAGTGTAATAAGCATCTCCCATTTCTGTACTTTCAAAGCTCTGGAATTCAGCAGATTGCTTGGTTAATTTTTAGTTTTCTGTTTGGTCAGTAACAGAAGTGGCAGAGCAACAGAAGATAATGATTGCATTTTCAGTCCTGCATTTATTGGGACTTTATTAAAAATACCCACCCACTAGATATTTGCTCATTTTGAAGGTAAATAGAAACTCTATTATATGGATAGGCAAATAAGAAAGTGCAAGTTTCAAGCGACAAGTGAAAGAAAGAAAAGACTAATTAAATTTGAGCATCCCAGCAATGACAGCTTTGCCTGCATAACTTCTATAGGCACTAAAGGACAGAAGTTACCTGAACAGCAGCTAGCATTCATTTTGTATTATGGTTCAAGTAAGTTTAACAGAAGTTATCCCAGAAGGGAGCTCTCTTCCCTCAAAAGGTATAGCTGAGAAATTGCCCAGTGCTGCATCAGATAATTACAAATGGCCTTAAATAATGAAAAAAAAATTCCACATGCTAGGAGGCTATTTGTACACTAGCTATTGTGTACAACAGTGCTGTACAGAGAATATCTAATCATGAGCTACATGAATTGTAAATCTAAAATGGTAAAAAGAGTCTCATGATGGGAAAAAATTATTTTCTTGTTGGCATTAAAATCAAAATGATATTTTAAATGGAATTAAAATAACGTATAAATGAGTCTCAAAGATTTTGCTGGTGTTCCCTGCACACAGCAGCTCAGCTCAGTTAAATAAAATCCTCTACTTATGTATCCTGCAGCTTAACACCTTCATGGGCTAATTACCTTTTCCTCTGCAGAAGAGGTTGGCATCAGCCAAGAAGGTAAAAACTCTACTATATTTGGGAAAAATTAGTACTGGGCACTATTGTTCCTAAAAAATATTACCTTTTTTTAGGCTCAGTCATGTTAAACGGTATGCTCATGCAGCAAATAAAGATATACAAAGTGCAAGTTATTTAAAGTCTAGTTATGTGGGGCTTCTGCTGCCTGAAGCCAGGAAGGGCACAGAAGCTCAGAAGGAACCTTCTAAGTAAACACAAGGAAGAAACAATTGAAAGCAAACCCAGACAGCTACTTTTAATTATTAAAAAGTTAGTGGTATACCAAGAATGTGTTTGCTAGAATTCATCTTTATCAAGCGCCGTATCTCTTCTGTCAGGTTGTTCAAAATAGCCATTACAGTAACAACAGCAGACTCAAATGTGCAAATGATCTGGAATACAGAGTTCTAGCATCACTGAAGGTGCACTACTTCCTCCTTTACACTCCTACTCTACCCACAAAAGGTATTTAAACATAATTAAACATTAGCAGTAATTTCCAGAGGTTGGGGAAGGAATGATAAATTGTATGTGGCTGTGTTACACTCAAACAGGGACCTAAATGAATCCCTCCAACAGCATTTAAAAAAGAAATAAAATAGCACCTTAAAGAGGGCCACAGCCACAAACTGATCATCAGATATAAGAACAGAATGGTAGAGTAATGTATGAAGAAGTCAGTAGATACTAAAGAAGCTGACTGGACCATTTGCAGCTAAATGGCTCCCTAAGATGAGATGCTAGAGGTCTGCTCCTGCTCAGCCTCCTTTTCAAAAAAGGCTTCCAGGTCCATTAGCTTCTGACTCAGAAGAGCATCTAACTCTGCATTCTGTAGTGCAGCTTTTTTTGCTCGGGTGAAACTACCCACAGCTTTGATTTTGCTTCTCGTCTTCCTTTTCCGCGGAACAGTAAAGTCCTGAAACTCTAGAATCCGCTTTCTCTTCTGCTGGCTGACAGAGATCAAGCATCCATCCTTCTCCTTGGGCTCTTCGAAGATTGTTTCCAAGCTCCTGGTGAAAGCAAAGGATAGAACTCATGAATACTGAAGAAGCAGTTAACCACCTGCAGCAGCAGTTAACCACCTTACAAGGACAGGGAGACTGGTGGATTTTACAACCCAAGTAAACACACTTCTAACTTTTACATTTTTACAGTCCCTCCACACCTCTTGTAATGTCTACGCCACTGTATCTTACAGCTTACACCTCCTACAACTGCACATTACTGCTAGGTAAATAATTTATTATTGGTGCATAGATATTTGGGTTGAATGTCTTTCTATCTGTATTTCAGTTCAAAAGCACAGTTACAGAATCTTGCTTTATAGAATAAATAGATTTGAACATTAAAAAGATGTAGCAGTCTTGATAATCATGCTGTACTTGATGACAGGCAGTTATTTTTAGTATTTTAAAGAATTTTGAATTTTGAAAAAGTAACTACTGTACTTGGATGGAGGCTGGAATGAATGAGTAGATGAAAAAAATATACAAATATACAAATCCATACTTACACAGCTGCAAATTCTTAGGTCATATTCTATTACACTGGTTTCCAGCCAAATACTATTTTTCAATAAACTCTCTCTACTACTTTAAAGTAGAGCAATTTAAAAAATTTCTCTCTCTCTGAGCTTTCAGACACCTTTAATCTGCTCTCTCTCTCTGCCTAAGTAATTTACATTTATCTTAGTTTTCTCATTAGGAAGCAGAACCAACCTGGCTGTAGGAGGGGACTTATAGTTCTTGTTCGTGTAAATTTCTTCTAAACTAAATTCTTTCTTCTTAAGCCTGAAAAAGTAATGAACAAATCAATCAAGAAAGAAGAATTTTGAAACTATCTCTCTTAACAACAAGCAGATTTACTAGAAACAAGTATCGTTTGCATTCTATGCTTACATGCTAACTGATTACGCTTTAACTAATTGGGGACAGGGAGGAATGAAAAATGAGGTCGTAAAGTACCTAATTTCACACAGTCTTTTTATAAGGTCTGGGTGAAAGTTGCCATTTCTGCAGAGGTTAACATTCCTTCTAGCATTCTATGATGTTTCAAAATAATGATGCTCAAAAGAAGAAAGCGAAATCCCTTCACAGTTCACTTTTTGGTGTAAGCTAAGAAGACTTCCAGTTCAGCAGATTAACATTTCATCTCTTGAGACTGATTTTAAAAGTTAGTTATTGACACTTAATTAGCAGGCTGATCTCTGAAGAAATGCATTCCCCTGTCAAAGCTGGCACTTCTGTTTAAGACAGAAACGAACAACGTACTAGATGACCAACTGGAAAAGCTTTGTCAATATCTGGCACTGGGATCACCCACACTTACACTGAACTGATGCTTCCCTAAGATCACAGACCACAAAGAAAGAAGGGACTGTGAAGAACTCCAACATAATTTGCATCAGCAGAACGTCCTAATAGATCACTTCATCTCACTTTGCATTGTAGAATGACTCCTTTTCAATGTCTGTTTATCAATACGAACTTCTTCTTTAGAAAATCATTCCATTGCAGCTTAGTTTTTCACATTTTGCCTAAAACCCCGTCAGTAACTCACATCTAATAGTCTTTTATTTATCCTTCTCACTTGAAAAAAGTTATGCTCAAAGACCATTTTCTTTCTTCAGTCTTTTATACAGTTGATACAGCTGTGTCAGTCTTTTCTTATAAAGGAAGCAAACATCACTCAACTGGGAGTGTACAAAATAGTCGTGGCGAGAGAAGCATTTATTGAAATGATTACATTATTATGCAGGAAATGTAAGCAACGGAAGCTAGCATGAGCCCATTTAAAAGGTGCTGGTCACCTTTTTGGTTTGGGTAGTCCCATTGGAGTAAGGTTAGGGTCCGGCTTAGGAACAGTTTTCCTGATTCGGATCTGTGAGACTTTCTTTGGCCTCTTTTCTGTCTCAGTCTTAAGAAAGAAAAAAGGAAAAGAAAAAAAAAAGTTAAAATGAAGGAAATGACCACGGTAGTCAACAGAATTTCCTTTTATGTTGAGTATACATTATCTGTAGAATAAACCTTCCTCTTTGTTTTGCCACCTTCTTTCTGCTTGAAGAAAAGAAAGAAGCAGCACAGACTGCGACTAACAGCCTGTTTTCTCTCTCATCTTTAACATTTACTAGATAATATTCAGCACCAGCAGCTTCAAGTTCTGGGGAACCAAGAGTCTGAGATATCTAAAACCTAAAGTGAACTCACTTTTTTCAGTTCCGTATCATCTTGGGATCTAAGACAGGCTGGAACAGAAGCATCAGCTTCATCAAGGGCATGGACCTGGAGCTCTGATGCTGAAAGCCTGGGGGGAAATGGCAATGGTTCTGGAAGTGAGCCAGGCTTTGGTAACAGAAGAGGGAATGAAGTTTCCAGACTGTAACAGAGGAAGAAGGGAACATATGTAGATTAATACCCAATTGATGCTGCAACAGCACTCTTGTGTGATGTTCCTAAATTGCAATATGGGCACAAAAAGCAATACAGTTCACAGAAATTGCCCAAGTAAGTGAACACTGTCTCTGGTACATACACACAGTCAAAAACTGCTGCAGTCCACATTGATACTGAAACAAACTAAACTGCCAGTGTATTTGAACAATTTAAAACCCATTCTTTTCCTTTTCATATAGTTAAACGGTTTACAGCTCTATTTAGTAACTACTGAAAGTGATTAATCGTTTTCTGCCAACAAACTTCTTTGACATAGCTATTAATTTATTACTTTTTGTTCACAGATAAATTTGAAAGATAGCTTTTTTAATCTGCCATCCCAACACTGAAAAAGAATAGAAGGAAGTTTCAGCACCTAACGTCCAGTTGCTCAGACAGAAAGAACATATATCCAAGTAAGGAAACAAACTTCTGTATTACGAAATGAATATGTGAAACTAAGTGGCACAACATGGTTGAAAGCAACAGAATTGCTCTGTACATAGTGTTCGCATTAATGCCCCTCCACACTTCTCCATTACATGATCCAGTCAGTTTTCTTCACTAACATTTGAATCAGAAAGCTATTTTTGAAGTGAATTGCCAAAAGCTGAAAAGTCCAAAGGACATAAGCAATGTCTTCTCAGAAATCTTATAATCCCACTACTCAGAATAAATTTCAAAGTCCAAGAGACTCACTGTATCTCATGACCTGCAGTCTGTAGTGCTTCCATATGCTGTACAGGTAAGTGCGGTAACATGGCATAGCTGGTTCAAAAGAAGAATGAAAAAAATGCATAAAAATACAGACAGCAATTAGGTCTACACTATAAAAAAGATGAAGAAAAAATTATTAGTATAAACTGAGTTGTAAGACAAAAAATGCTAATATCAGGAATGAGAATGAAAGACTAAAACGATACAAGAACAAGCCACATCTGCCATTTAATCCACTAAATTTCACCTACAACAATCCTTCTTTCATTTAAAAATGGTAGTGATGAGAAAAGGAAACAGAAGTACAGAGAGACAGACAGTATTAGTCTGAAAGCTGTAATTATTTCTATGAAAGTCTATATTCCTCATTTAAAACCCCCAGGTTTTAACATTAAAGTAACCAAAAAACTTGGAAGGATTTGGCTACTAAATAAAAAAAAAGTGCATAGTGGCAACAGTAAAAGTGAAAGGAAGGATTTGCCTAAGATTAACTCTCTGTTGTTGTCTCTAACTCCCACAATCTTACTTCAATACTCTTAATTGACTGGCATAACCAAAGGCCTTTCCGAAAGGGTCAGTAATTACCATAATTCTATGGCATAAAAGTCAGCACAGCAGCTCTAAGTCCTTTAATATTGAGCTTTATTTTTGTGCCCACATTATTAATAGCAGGAGAAAAAAAAAATCCATTGGGACAACTTCTATTACATTAAACAGCAAGTCTTGTACTTGCTGTTCTTCCAAGCTAACAGCTAAATGTACTTCACTATTTAAAGCAAAGAAGTTACAACCAGACTGAATGCTACAAAACAAATGAAAACCAACTATGCTGGCAGCACAGATATGTCCAAATATAAAGAGGTCAGAAAGACCCACTTCTTGTGTTTGTCACTTCGTAACAGAACTATAATGTTTTGTTTTTCTCCATGTTCCACTCACTGTCCCAACACTACTGGAACCCTCACCAACAGTGCATCAGAGTCCTCCATGCTAGAGGCAGCACTTACTGTTTTATGCAATAATAACAATAATACATTACAGGGAGAGAAAAAAACACTTTAGAAATTTAGAATCCAAATGAGCATTAATTAGAAGAAAGACTTCATTTAAATAATGTTTTATTACTGGCAGTGGAAATGGCAGAAGATTTTTTAGGAAGGAGAATGACTCTAGCTTCTTGTTTTCCTGGTTATTAAAAACACTAACAATGAATGAAGTAATTTAAAGAGGACAAATCTCTTCCAGAAGAAAATGGCCTGCAGAGAACTTGGAGCCACTTTTTAATTTTTCTGATTTTTAACTATTTTAATCAAAACAGGCAACGATTTTTGTCATACTGGGAGCCGAAAACTCTTTTATGCTGCACCACATAGTTCTTGTATTTATATACCAAACATTTATTTCATAGGAGATTTTTTTTTGAGTACACACAAATTTAAGAGAGATTTGCTGAATTATCCTTTTATCGCTGTTCCTGTTAATACCTTTAAAAAAAGAATTATTATTTGATGAGAACAGGTTGTCCATCTTCAACAACATGGAATCCCAAATGGTGTTAAATATTTAAAATGTATTGGTTTTGTTCTTTATGTTGGTTTATAGCCAAACCTTTAATATTTATTTTCGCTTAACCGTTGTAGGAATGGATTTGCTGCATTTCTTTAAACTTCTGCAAATATTGTTTTCAACTCAGTGCATGCTACAAAAACTTCACTTTAAAGAAAATAAGAGTAGGGTAGAAGAATTCAGTATACCTTACACGCATATTTGTAAGGTATTTTAGAGATAAAAGTAACTGAGTTTCAGACTATTTTAACTTTGGGTTATTTTTCACTTCAAGTGATCACGTTTGATTTGGCTTCTGTCCCTTTGTGATAAAAATCATTCACAGCAAAACATTTGGTTTTCAAATTACCCTTTACATCAAGGAATTAAATCCTCTTATACTTTAGCTAACTGGATATGCTCTAACAAGCTGCCTAGGAGTCTGCAGACTTAAGTATGGAAGAAAACACGAGAGCGTAAGTCAGCTCTGATCTCCCAGTCAAGGATAATACCCCTCACCAATACAAAACAATAAATTCACCTCATACACAGAAGGAAGTTTTAAAAAGGTGTTTGTTTTTAAAGAATGGCAACAACGTCTTATTTTTAAATTTAGTGCTCAAATTGTAGTTTACTGGTATGATTGCTTCCAGAATACCAATTTGTACACTAGAAAATTCAGCCTGATATATTGACTCATATGGAATGAAAAAGAATGCAGGTCTAATAGGATGTGCTGCAAAGTTGTCTCTATGTCATTATTCAACTTCATTGTTTTAGTGCAGACAGCTCCCAGAACGGAGTAGTACTTTCATAAGCTCACTCACACCTTTGGTAGACATTAAAATTTATACTAACAAGTGATACACTTAAACTTTCAGGTATACTATCCGTTTATACAAAGCACAATGCAGCATTAGTTATCTGGCAAGATTTTTGGTTATACGCATGTCAAGCTATGACATCAGATAAACCAAATTCAACAGTTCTTGAGAGACTGCCATATTAAACAAAAGAATTAATCAAACTGACTTGTCTACAGTGCTTATGAGGCTATACTCTGTCCAGGAAGCTCAAGACTGTAAAATCAAGGACTGAACCGCCCCACGGCACTGAGGCATAAAGGGCAAAAAATCTTTGCTTGCCAGCATGCAAAAATCCTGTAACAGAGCTAGCAACCTATTCTCTCATTCTGTTTCTAGTAAAAAATCTCAAATGCCGATAGCAGTTAAATTTAATATGCAGAGTAGATTTCTGTCCTCTTCCCACGCATAACGAGAATGATACAGACACAAAAATTCCTTACCAACCTGAACTGCAGCTACACTTGCTTGTGCCAGCAATACATTGGGCACATACTATCAAAAGGCACAGCATACATGAAGAGGTGTCAATTAGCATGGAACAGTCACAGAATATAATTAAAAATTTAACTGAATGCCACCCCCCACCCCTTAGGATTCTTCCTAATCTGATATCGAGCATTTTACAGTGGTGCCAAGTGGCACTTGTGGCTCAGACCTCTGAAAAAAACTTTCCTACCTCAGAAATCCAGTTGTTCTGCAGTCACTCTGAATAGACCTAATGAAGTAGCTCACCTTTCTGCATTATATATTCTGATGCATGGTGTGTATATTTTGCAAGGGAGAAGAAAATAGAGTTAGCCATTCTGCCAAAACAGGATAGTATTAAAGAAGTGAAGGCAAATATATTTAAATTCAGTGAACAGACTGTTCCGTAGGGAAGAATCTTCCATGTTGAGCCATTTTTTGAGCAGAATGTGTAGATCTGGAACAGGGGAAACTGACCCTCCAATGCAAGCTGCCATTACCCTCTCCCTCCCAAAAAGGAGCAAGTACATACCCTATACATATTTAATCTCGGAAATAAGTTGATGGGTTTTACCTGTTCTCGATGCCCACACTTGGCTGCCACTTGCAGTGATTGGAATGGAGAGGAGTGATTTCGGAGGGACAGGCAGAAGGACCATGCTGGCTCCATAGGGATAGCACCCTGCCCAGTGAGTATGGCAATGAAGAGACGAGGTCGTCCGATACAGAAGTTGGATACCTTGCCCCTTTCAAACCCTGTGCGAATTGCGACATCAGTAGTCTCTGGATGGTAGGAATATGACTGGTTAAGTTTCTTCTTCTCGTCCAAATCCTGTAACATCCAGGGGAAGAAAGCGCTAACACTGTGTGAAGGCCAAGCATAGAGCAACCTCCTCTTCTTTCAGCTATGGCATTTCTTCCACAGTCAGGATGAAAGGCAGCAGCCCGTGGGGTTGTTACAGAGAGAGAAGAATGCAGCTCATTATTTAGACTGGAATCTTCCATGAAAGCTGTTGTATCTGAACAGCTCTGAGACAGGAGAAAAGAAAAAGTCCACTGTGAAGGTGATGCTGGCATTTCTCCCAAAACTGGTCTGCAATGTACAGAGTGCTGGGATGTAATCCCTGTGAGGACTGTCACAGGACTGGAGTCCAACTGTACATGAAAAGAAATTGGGAAAACTGGGGTATCCAAGAGAGAGGCTGGAGGCTCGTGGCTCAAGTCTGAAAAAAGTATTTTGGTAGATTCTACAGGATAAAGTGCCAAAGGCTGAAAGTTGAACATCTTGGTGCACCAACTGTCAGCCCAGCGTGAGTGTACGTTCCTGTTAACACAAGAAAAGGCTTCCAATAGATTTTTAGATCTACGTTGGCTGTACCTCTCACCCACTGGAAGAATTTCAGAAGAATATGGCAGAGGTTCTAAGTTATGGATACTTTTGGCAGGTTCCAGGAGTTTGCTAGCCATTGCAGACAGCTTGCTCAACAGTGCTCGTTCTTTGGTACATTTTCTAAGCTTCAAGCTGTTCAACGAACTGCACCTCTTGGCCCTCTGCCTTGGCATATGCATAAAACTCATGGCTGCTTCCGATTCCATTGTCGCTGGTTTAGATGGAAGGTACAATGATTCGAGAAGTGCGTTTTCCTGCTTAGGGAGAATTTCTGGGGGGATCTCAAGAAAAGGTGAACTTTTGATTTTTTTGCTTTTTCTTACAGTTTTTAGCTGGTACGATGTGGGAACTTTTTTGCATGTCCTTCCAGGCTGTATTTTTAATGGAAGAGGTCCTCTTAGTTTATTTGTAGTTCCAAAGGCACCAGGGATCCTATCACGCCCTAAATTAAGGTTCAGGTTTTCCACTTCTGAATCCTGAGTCTTCAAAAACTGTGAACTCACAATATCTGTGGTAATCTTTGGCCTTTTGACTTCTTGTAAAGTGCTACATAGTTTATTTTCACTGCTTCTGACAGCAAAAATCTCCTCTGAAGGACCTTCAAACTCTGTATCTCTTGATGTCACCGACTCATTTGAAGAGCTGCATAAGAGTTCAGAACTATGCAGTACACTTGGTTGCAGTGTGATTTTTGCTTTCTCTTGATATTCTGACTTCTGTTCTTGTTGTGCCTTGTCTGACAGATGTACTTCCATCTTCACATACTTCTTCTTTCGTTTAAGTACCTGACATTTCTGCATGTCATCAAGTCTCTCTGAATCTAAAGCCTCATTTTCCTTGCAAACAGAACAAGTTGCTATAGCGTCCAGGCCTTCTGTAATCTCCTTTACGTTATCTTTGCTCTGTGCGTTTAATTTGTAAGGCACACATACTCCACTGCAAACCACACAGTTTGGGGATGATTCTTCGCAACTGTTTGATGATATACTCCTACATGGATAAAATGTGGGTGTTGTATTCCACTGCAGTTCTCGTGAAGTTTCTGCATCAGACGCATCTTCAGCTTGACAACCATGCACCATTTCTGAAAGCAGACTGGTAGCTGCTAAGTTTGTGAGCTTTGTAGTATTTGTTCTTTCTTTTGAAAGATCATTTTGGTTAGATTTTGGGATTTCTTCCAAAGCATTTCCATAATTCTCAGTACTGAGAGGGACTATTTTGCTACCAGACTCTTTTGAATCTTCTAACAAGGCCCATAGACAATCTTCTCCATCAAGAAAAGAATCTATGGGCAACTTTTTTCTAGGGGCTACTTCTCTTCCCATCTTCTCTTCTACACGTATACTGTTAAACTTCTCTCCACAGTGAGTACTTTTTGGTGGGGTCACATCCATGCCTTTTACAGTCAGCATGCTATGCCCCTCATCTCTCAGACTTTCTTTGCTGTGTGCACAACCTCTTGAGCTTTTTGCACCTTGCAGAAAGCTAGCTGCCGTTTCGTTCCCTGAAGATGGAACCTCAGTATTGCTGGCTTTTCTTTTAAGAGACATTGTTACAGAAAGAGGCTTTGTCACTGAAGAATCTTTTCTAAAAACTTCGTCTGAAGACGAATCACAATTACCTATTTGTGTATTCTCAGACAACATATAAAGGTTTTCTTTCTCAGGCAGAGAGAGTCCCAAGTTCAGAGCTGATGGTGTTTCTGACTCTGCCTGAGCCACCTTAAAAGATTCTCGGATGTTAAACTTTCCGAAATGGGAAGGACCTAGACCCTTTTGAGCATCAGTGTCTTTACCAGGCTCAAATGTTAACTGCGGGCAAGAGTTACTTAAGATAGATTTTATTCTCAGACTTTTTTTGTTTTCTGTCTCTGAAAGGACATTCATATTTTCTGGCTTATATGACAGACTCCCATGAATTGATGAGAAGGGCAAAACTGGGGCACTAACTGTATTTTCCTGGTCCTCCACTAACAACTTCACCTTTGGCAAAGATTGCTGCGTTTTGCTTCCTGCAAACACTAGCTCTGCTTTCTCTTTTGCACATTTGATAAAGCAAGCATGCTGTGAGCAATGCGATTTGCTATCAGAAAAGCTTTCTTCAACAGTTCCTTTATCTTCTCTTTTACATCCATTCTCCTGTTCTTTTAGTTTGATTGTCTTCTCCTCAGTTCGGTCACTGACGAAGCCCATATATCCTGAACAGTCTTCATTTCTCACACCATTTAAAGAGTCCAAATCCACTACATTCTCTTTTGGAGTTGCTTTAGAACTGTCTTCTCTTGCGTCTTTATGAACTATCAGAGGCATGTCATCACCCGTCTTGAACAGTATCTCTTCACTTTGACTGGAGCCAATTGATATTTTGGTTTCTTCCACAGACGTAGCTGTAGTTTGTAAGCCAGTGTCTGGTTGGTTGGTTGAACTTTCTAAATGTTGCTTGCTGCCTGGAACTGGGCCATCACACTCACTCTGACACGTAAGACACTGATTTTCCATTGGACAAAGGGTCTTTTCTGTTTGGCTAGCATGTTGTGTTTGAATATTCACATTGTTGAGTAACGGACACGTATCACAGACTGAAGCTCTACACTCCGAGGGATTAGCTGCGAGTGATGACACTTCTTTCTTCTCACACATGCCTAGTTCTCTCTTCTTTGGGCCTAATGGAGAGTTGCAAAATCCAAAATTACGAACACTATTTTTTTTGTTCAAATATCTGACTAATAGCTGTTCACTAGTCTTATTTCTCTGATTGCCTTCAGGAGCCTTTGGAGAATCCACAGTTCTTATTTTATCAAATTCATCTGTCTGGAGAGCACACACGCCAATTTGTTCTTTTGCCCCATCTTTGTCACAAACGATTTCACTGCCATCTGTTACTTTACAAAGATCAAATTGTTTCACAGCTTCCATATTTTTATCTGAAATCCCATCTCCTAGCAAGGTAGCAATAGACTTCTCTGCAGTATAAGCTGAGCCAAACATGTTTTTTGCTGTGGAAATGTAATTTATCCCATGCAGATCTACACCTCTGTTGCCCCAGTCATCTTCACAAGGAAGAGATCCACATGCCAAAGGGAAGCGTGCTTCTGGAAAGATGATTGCCTTTTTACTATTATATCCAGCTGGAGCTTCTCCTTCCAAACTATCATTTTCTTCAATCTTCTTATCAACATCGAAAGAATGACTGTTCGGAAGAACATCATCTACACGTGAACTCCCTGATAAAACACAGGAAGTACTGGCAGCTGTACCCTGGTTTTTTATGCTCTGATTATTACAACTCTCTATGTCACTATGTTCATTTTCTAAACCAGTGACCACACTCTCTATATTTCCCACCGAAGACTTCACGTTCTTTTGGGAAATTTTGCTTGTCATATTAGGGTTATCAAAAGTCCTGGAACTTGCCGAAGACTTGAATTTGTCTTTATGAAGCACAATTTCAGCAATTTCTTCCCCTGTTGTTCCAGAAGCACCAACTGATTCTTTTCCAGAGAGATCATCCTGAGCCTTGTCCCTGCTTGAAACTTCATTAGCAGTACAAGGAGGACGCTCATTATGATGAGGTTCTCTTGATATTTGTGCAACAGGAGGCAGAGGTACATTTAGTGTATAAATTAAATTAGTCTCTTTGCCAGGGGACAAACTGTCACTACTACTAGCTTCTGTAGCTTCAACTAAACTGTCAGCCAACTCTCCTGGTGTTGTATTACGCTCAGATTCCTTTTCAAGCAGTTGTGCTTCAGGTGAATCTTTTTCTAGCTTGATACTAAGATCCAGACAGCTGTGGCTACGGGGAGGAGAACTTTTACTGGAGGTATTATAAAAGCACATGTCTGTCTGTCCAATTTCATGGGAAGCAACACTGCTTATTTCCATCAATAGATTATTTGCTTTTATCTCATCCCTGCATAGATCACTGACAGAGAATTGCCACTGCTCCTTTTTCAACTTATCACCTTCTGATGGGACCATTTTTAATTTTTCTTTTGAGAACTCCTCAGGAGATGAAGCAACAGAACTAAAAACTGAAGAATGACAATGCTCAGAATTAGCACCCTCTTGAGCTTCAGGCCAGCTACCAAATTCAACGTTATCTCCCACAGCAATTTTTCTCCAGACTTTAGCAGCCTCTTCAAATTCAGAGCCGTATGACTTACCTATACTAGCACTTCCTTGCCTATGATCAATTTTAGTACTACATAATCCTTTGCTCCTTACCACTGACATATGCTCTACCGGTACGGATGTGGAGGTTTGAGTTTCTACAAACTCAGTTCCATGATCACGAGTCTGACTTTTGACGTTTTCGGGAAGATACTTTTTTGGGGTTTCACTGCTAATTCCACAGACTGCAGTACTATTGTTTTCTAGTGGCATATTTCTAAAGTCCAGATAACGGTTGCTTTTCAGAACCGAAACTAAAACTTCAGAACTTCTTGTGGAGAGTGTTCTACAACTTTCTACTGATGGCAACCTATGAGGGTCATTATGTTTAGTTATGGGACCAGTACAGGAGTCATGAGCATTGTTTTCTTCATCCTGCTGATAAGTCTGGCAATTAGCAAGTGATGTACTCAAATCATTAACAGGATTATGTCTGGGTAACTTTGTGTCCCTAGCCTCCAAAATAGATACAACATTACCCCCTGTTCTCAACTGCATGGCCATATGGACTTTCAACCCACTATATTCATCCGTGTCTTGTGGATGCTCTGTGGCTGATTCAATGTCCGTGACACTTAAAGGCTCTAACACATCTAACATGCTGGTTTCTGAAATCCCAGCTCTGGCCATGACTGTGTCTACGCCTGGGCATTCACTGCTCTCAGGTGGAAGACCTTTACTCACTCTGTCATTCCTGTATCCTGCTTTACTAAATATCCTAGTCCCATCAGCCTTCATACCTTGTACTTCTTCAGTGAGCTTTGGACGAGTTTCAGCTTTATTCTGAACATTTGGTTGGTTTTCTTCTGCGTAAGAAAAAATAAAGCAAATCAGAACCGCATACTGAATTTAGAAGGCATTCAGCCCACTAAGTTCCTTTTAGTATTGTACACAATACTGCATACAGTGTTGGATACCAATCTGTAAGTGAGAATTGATGCTAGCAATTCTACTACAAGCCTTCAGAAGTAAAAAAAAAAACCCTGCCCCACCACAAGCCTTTGTTAACAAATGCAATCCTTTTCCACAAACAGACATTCCCTATGACCAGCAGGCATCCAAAGACCTGTACTTTTCAGATTCCTCAAATACCCAGCTGGTATGGTGGTGCAGTGCAGGTCCTATAACTCGATACACATGAATCACAGAATGTTCGGGGTTGGAAGGGACCTCTGTGGGTCATCTAGTCCAACTCCCTGACAAAGCAGGGTCACCCAGAGCAGGCTGCACAGCACCGTGTCCAGGCGGGTCTGGAATATCTCCAGAGAAGGAGACTCCACAACCTCCCTGGGCAACCTGTTCCAGTGCTCCGTCACCCTCAGAGTGAAGAAGTTCTTCCTCATGTTCAGACGGAACTTCCTCTGCTTCAGTTTGTGCCCATTGCCCCTTGTCCTGACGCTGGG